TTTTTTTTTTTTTTTTTTTATGCTTCACTTGTTTTCGGAATTGTTTGTGAACATAAATTTGCGATGACCATTGATCATTGTCGTTTGCATATCGTTTTATTTTATCACAACACGCACTCATACACCAAACACTGGCAACCCTACGACGAAGAGGCAGACGAATGAAGGCAGACACAAAAAAAAAATTATGCGTCTTCATGAATTTTATTTGTCTATATGAACACATGTAAACACCATTTGATTGCGCTCGCAGACTTCTTTCTTTCACACGTCAGCATTCCATCCATGCAGCAGGGAGTGCGTAGGAGAGGAAGGAAAACAGTCGCCGACAACGAACAACACTTTCCGATCACAACCCAACAATCACCAAACTCTTGCGAATTATAAAAACACACTGCCGACATGATTGTTCTCCGTAGAACGAATGAGCCCGTAGAGATGCACACGACTGCCGCTCGCGACACACAACAACTCCATCTCAATGTCGTTTACTGATCACACTAACCGGCCACCGCCGCCGCTTCCGCCGCCCAAAGACTCGCCCACACTAACAGGGAACGCCCCACTATCAACGCACCAGCCCGAAGCTGCGGATCGAAAAATGAAAAGGAAAAACTTCCGACAAACTCTAAAACGGACGGCATATGGCGCGGAGACTACGAGGCATGATTGTCGCTCTCCGCTCTGCGTCCCTCACTACTGACCGAAAATTGGACGGCATGGCACATGTACTGCGCCCGTCGTCTCTCCGCACACTGCTTCCTCCCACCGCCGCCGTCAAACGTTCCTCCGTCATACACGGCCCGCAGCTCCCGCCGCCTCGCGAGGTCCCTCTGCCGTCATCGCCGCATCATTCGCTCCGCCAGCGCCTGCCGCAGCATGATCGCCTCCCCCGTAGAAGTTTCCATGCACAACGGCCTGGGAGGGCGATGGATCCCGAGATCCACCCGACGACGAACTCCATTGGCGTCAACCTCTTACAACAAGTTCTCGTTGAAAGGGATGCCGGCGTCGATTAGGATGTTGTGCAAGAATGCAGACGACCACGAACTGCTGGGGCAAGGTCTCCATGTTGGTCTTGTGCGAGCCTAGGAACAAGCGCCACATTCCTTTCAGTCTCCCGAACGCCCTCTCCACTGCCCCCCTCGCGGTCTTCTGCTTGYTGTCGAARCGACTCTCCAGGGGATGCTRCKCCACGCCGCCAAACGGGACAACCATCCATTCGCTCGGCGGGTAACCATTGTCGGCCAGCAAATAACCATTCGTCTGCACTTGGAACGGTAGCAGCACAGGAGGCCCTGTAAACAACTCTCCCGCCGCCGCCCGCGACCATAGAGTGGAGAGATGGATGATCCGGACGTCGTGGCAGCTCCCCGGATATCCCACAAACACGTCCAGGATGCGCAAGTCCAAGTCGACCACCACTTGAGCAACGACAGAGAAGCGTCTCTTGCGGTCGTAGTAGTCTTCTGGAGGTGCATTCGCCGGCTTGTCCACGTAGATATGGGTGCAGTCGATGCACCCATGGCAGTTCGGGAAACCCTTGTCTGCAAAAGCACGCAGAACGATCGCCTTCCGCACCCCAGTCGGCCACGCCACCTTCTCCCTGTGCACCGAAAGTAGCGCAGCAGTAATGTCCCGGACGGCCACCAAACCTGAAGCCCTGCCAATCCCAAAGTTGTAGCTGCTGCTCTCGTATGTCTCGCCCGACGCCCACCTGTACAGCGCGTAGGCGACGATCTGGTCTGGTTGCAACGGTTCCCTATAGAACGTCACACGTCGCTGGAGAATCGGCGAGAAGTTCTCAACGATCTCGCGGAAGACACGTGGAGACATCCGTAACTTGTCGCGGAAGTAATCGTCAGTGGCATCGTCCGCAGGCCGAAGATCCTCCCAAGTCCCCCCCGTCGTCCTTTTTACCCACCATCTCGGCGTCGCCCTCGGTAGTCCCCCAAATCCCATTGCACAACACACCTCCAACATGGCATCACAGATGGCAGCGCTATCCAACATTTCAGTCGTCACCGCCGGCATCAACTTCCTTCTCCGGGCACGTAGTCGTGCCCACCGCGGTTGACCTTCGACCTCCATGTCGCACTGCATGATGACGGCGGCTACGGCAGACGTCACGGCAGCCCTCTCCACAGCGGACAACCCGGCCCTGACGTCATCCCCATCACCCACTCCATGCACATGGACCACCTCAGACATCGCAGTCATCCTCGCGGAGTGAACTCGCCCAACACTCGACCGGACGCCCCCAGCATTGCCAGCAATGGACACTGCCCACGAGCAAGTTGGCGGAGATGGCGGCCGTGCAGCGGTGCGTGAAGACGAATGAGCAAGGCGGAACGAGACGCTCACCACAGTCGATGGAGGGCCACGGAGAGGCATCTCTTCAAATACGTGTGGAACATTGCGATGACGCCACAACGGCTAGCGGCTCCCTCGCGTGACGCCCACTGCAAAACCCCCCAGAGTCCCCCATGGGGTCGCCCCAAGGTACCCGCATGTCCCCGCGGAACCACACCGCATGGCATGGTCGGCCGATTCGAAATTTGAATTTTGAAAGTGCACGCGCGCATTGCGGCGGCGGCAGTCTCTTTTCGAATTCGAAGGCCGAACGCGGTGGACCAAGGCCGCTCGCACGGACACCGGACGATGGACCACCACCCAAACTTTCGTCCCGCGGCCGCGTATAAAATTATACGTCTCCCAGCTGCCAGTCCTCGGAGCATCCTCGGGCGTCGTCCCGAGGGAGCAGTGGAACGAAAGCGGGAAATTCCTCGGGCTGCCCCGCGGATTTCCCCTCGGAGCCCGAGGACGCGCAGAGGAGTGTCTAACGAGCCCCTTAATCTGCTGTTCGTGGATGGACGAGGGCCCTGACTGAACTGCTACCTAAAGGTAGCCCGAGTTTCAACTGCAATTGAAACTCGGGCCCTGACTAAACTGCTAACACGCAGTTTCAAATGCAATTACAAACTGCTTTCGTGACTGTGCCGTAGTTACCCCCCAAAATAAAGGTTTCCAAAAGACAAACATGGCAAACAGTCTTGGGGGCTGCGGAAACTTGGAACCGACCAGGCCAAATGGTCTTAAACCACCAGTACACGGCCTCAGCCTTGCAGTAAAATAACTTTTCGCCACAAGAAGCAAAGGCGGGCTCGGGGCAGGGTCGGAGCGTCGAAGGTTTTCAAACTTTTGGGCCCATCTCAAATTTGTACGTCCCAAAGAAAAAAAAAAGCCTTTGGCCGTTTATCGGCTGTGCAGTAAGGGTATTTAACGACCCATGCCTTGTCTGCTGTGTGGCCACTCATAGGAATCAATGAGTGATTTCTGAACGTGGACTGGTTTTCCACAGTCTTCAAGACTTTGTTTCTTTCTCTGGTCGTCAGCAGAAATTGGCAGTTATTTTGTCGTTCTTGCATCGTCTGCGGGTCTTCACCAATGTTCCGGGTCTGGACGTTGCTTTCCTGTTGACGTTGAAGCATGAGCTGTGGTTGAGGGGATATCCTGATCTTTACTTCGACCTTGCTCTTGAAAGGTTCTCTAGGAAGTTTTCCGGTTGCTGGGATCATTGGTTGGGTATTCTTACGAAGTGGAGTCGGTTGTTCCCTTCACGTAGGTAAGTCGTAAGTGCTCCTGTGTTGGCCCGTCACTAGGGCTGTTTCATCAGGATTGTGTTTCTTTATTTTCGATCCCCTGACTTGGGACCTTTTGGTTGGTATATGCTAGGTGACCTTTGGCCATGTCTAGGTTCGGGTTGGGATTTGAACAGTAGACTGGGCCTGTTTTTTCCGACTTTTGTTTTTCGACTACTGTTATTTCTTTGTTGGAGGTACTTGTAGTATGATGTTGGGCAGGCCTCGTTCTTGAGGTGGGTGTTTGACTACTGTGTTGACACTGTCTCGAACTAGTGCCCTTCGGGATGCCCCCCCCCCTCTCTCCCCTCTTTAGCTTTTTTCACTTTCTAGCTTTGTTCGACTTTCTAATTTTTCCGATTTTTGCTTTTCTGCTGTTTCCGAATCTGGACGAGTTGGTAAACTGAATCTGGTACCTTTCCTTTGACGTTGAGTTGCGGTTGTCGGATTGAACTTTCTGGACGTAGTATACGGCTTGTTGTAGGGACTTCTTTTGTAGACTCTTGTAGCCTCTGTAAGTTCCTCCTGCCCTATTAATACGCAGGTTACGATCAATCATTGCACTTGCGACGACGACCAAAGACCCCTGAGGTAGGCTGGTTGGCGGGCCAGCCGAAACTAGTCGGGTCCACGCCGCTGTTCGACATTGATATATTTTTCGACAATCGTCACATCCGGGTTATTTTTTGTATCTGCGTACTCTTTCTTTTACTTTTCTTCTTCTTCTTCTTCTTCTTCTTCTTCTTCTTCTTCTTCTTCTTCTTCTTCTTCTGCTTTTTCTCCCTTTTCTTTCTCTTCTCTTCTTCTGCTCTGGTCGTCGTCTTGTTCTTCTTCCTTTGCTAGTCCTTGTGTTGATGTTCGTCGAGGTTGTCTCCTTTGATGCTTATTGTTACTGAAGCTAGTGAGTTGACTTCGGTCTTCTTCTGCTACGCAATTGCAGTTGGATACACTTTTTGGAGTACTCGTGTGAGTTTGCCCTCAGGGAGGGCACTTCAGCAGAATGTAGAACACGGGGAGTTGTCGGACTCTCAAAAAAAGAAAAAAAAGTTTAAAAAACAAACAAAAGTCTTTGGCTGTGATTGCAGTTGGATACA